CAATCCAGTAGCACATGCCCTCACATCTCAGTCATCATAAGATATTTAATCACTAACCCCACATCTGACAGAGGGCTGATCTCCAAAATTTACAAAGAATTCAATAGGCAAGTCTCCAAAACACCAAAGGATCCAATTAAAAAGTGGGGGACTGAACTAAATAGAAAATTCTCAATTGAAGAGTATAAAATGGCTGAGAGACATTTGAGAAAGTGCTCAACATCACTAGCCATTAGGGAATAGCAAATCAAAACAACTCTGAGATATCATCTTACTCCTGTCAGAATGGCTAAAATCAAATGACAGTTTGTGCTGGAGAGGATGTGGAGAAAGGGGAACACTCCTCCACTGCTGGTGGGAATGCCAACTAGTACAGCCACTATGGAAATCAGTATGGAGATTCCTCAGGAAAATGGGTCTGAGTCTACCACAAGACCCAGCAATTCCACTCTTTGGGCATATACCCAAAAGATGCCCATTCCCACAACAAGGATGTCTGTTCCACTATGTTCATAGCATCATTATATGTAATAGCTAGATCCTGGAAGCAACCTAGATGCCCGACAACTGAAGAGTGGGTAGACAAAATGTGGTACATTTACACAATGGAGTACTGCTCAGAAGAGAAAAACAATGGAATCTTGAAATTTGCAGGCAAATGGATGGCACTAGAGGAAACCATCCTGAGTGAGGTAACCCAGACACAAAAAGACCAACATGGTATATACTCACTCATATATGTACTTGAGATATGGACCAGGAGAGTGTCAGCCTACAATCCCAGTGCCAGTGAGTCTGGGAAACAAGGAGATTCCCAAGAGAGATGCATGATACCCCAGAGAAGTGGAATGAGGCAAGATCTCCTGAGCAGATTGGGAACTTTGGGGGAGGGGAGAGGGAACCAAGAAATAGAGAGGGGGATAAGAGGAGGGGAGAAGAAGGCATGGCAGAGCAGGAAGATTGAGTCAAGGTAAGAATAGAGGAGAGCAGGATGAGAGATACCATAATAGATGGAGTCATTATAGGTTTGAGGAGAGAGCTGACTCTAATGAGATCTCCAGAGATCTACAAGGATAACACCAACTGGCAAACTAAATAATAGTGGAGAGACTAAACTAATAGCCCCTCCTTGATGATAGGGTTGATGACTATCCTATATGCCATCCTAGAACCTTTATCCAGGGATTGATGGAAGTAGAGACAGATACCCACAGCTAAACACTGAACTGAACTCCTGGAACCTAGTGACAGAGATGGAGGAGTCATGAGCAAAGGGGCCAAGACCATGATGATGAAACCCGCAAAGACAGCTGGCCAGAAAATGGGGAGCTCTTGAATCGCAGAATGATGGCTGAGAAGCCAACAGGGGACTTGATCCAGACTCCATGAATGTAGTGCCAGGGAGGAGGCCACAGAAATCACTGGGGCCTTGAGTAGTAGATCAGTCTGCACCATGGTGTATGAATGAGCTTTGGTAGCCCATTCCAAATAGAGGGATGCTCTCTCAGCCTGGACACATGGGGAAGGGCCTAGGTCCTGCCCAGGATGAAATGACAGACTTTAGAGATCCCCCCCCCAAGGAGGGCCTCACCCTCCCTGGAGAATGATGTGGGTATTGGGTGAGGGGGCTGGGGGCTGTTGGAGGGACATTCATGTTTCTAATTTAAATGAAAACATATATTGAGAAAAAAGCAAAACAAAATAAAATAAAATTGTAAGCTAAAAAAAGATATTTAATCTAAACCAACATGAGCTTTGTTTGTTGTTTGTTTTCTTTTAATTTTTCTTTTTTTATTAAGTATGTTTTTATTTCAATTAGAAACATGCATGCTTCAAATATCAATCCCAGCTACCCCCTTCTCCCTCCACCAGCCCAATCCTCACATCCTTCCCCAGGGAGGGTGAGGCCCTCCTTGAGGGGATCTCCAAGAGTCTGTCATTTCATCCAGAGCAGGATATAGGCCCTTCCCCACTTGTCCAGGCTGGGAGAGTATCCCTCCATGTGGAATATGCTCCCAACGTTCATTTGTATGCCATGGTGAACAGTAGTCTACTTCCCAAGGCCCCAGAGATTTTTGAGGCCTCCTCACTGACACTACATTCATGGTGTCTGGATCAGTCCCCTGTTGGCCTCTTAGTCATCAGTCTAGGGTTCAAGAGCTCCCCATTGTCCAGTCAGCTGTGTGTGGGTTTCACCAGTATGGTCTTGACTGCCTTGCTCATCACTCTTCCATCTCTGTCACTGGGTTCCAGGGGGTCAGTTCAGTGTTTAGCTGTGAGTATCTGTATCTGCTTCCATCAGTCACATAATGAAGGTTCTACGATGTCACATAAGGTAGTCATCAACCTTATCATCAGGTAGGGGCTAATAATGTAGTCTCTCCACTATTACTTAGGTTTCCAGTTGTACATCTCTGGAAATCTCACTAGTGTCAGCTCTCTCCTCAAAGCTGTAATAACTCCAACTATTATGGTATCTCTCATCCTTGTCTCCTCTATTCTTACCTCGACTCAACCTTCCTGCTCCCCCATGTCTTCTTCTACCCTCCTCTTATCCCCTCTCTTTTTTCTGGTTCCCTCTCTTCTCCCCCCATGTTCTCAATCTGCTCAGGAGATCTTGCCTCTTTCCACTTCTCTGGGATATAATGCATATCTCTTGGGAACCTCCCTGTTTCCCAGACTCACTGGCCCTGGGATTGTAGGCTGACACTTCTTTTTATTTTCTGGGTGAGTAGATAGAACAACAAAGCACAAGGTCTCTAAAGCTGAACTCTAAGCTGTAACTATTTAGTGCTTTTTGGCCACGTGGGCATGGGGATTTTGTTCCTTCTTGTGTGCCTTTACAGTTTTTGATAAGGAGTAAACAAAGGACTTGTAGTGTTCTCTAGACAGGTCCAGTCACATGATGGTGCTGGGGCATGTCTTCCTAGTTTCCCCGGGACCTGCCACAGCCCTCCTTTTCTGCTCTGTGTTGGAAGAGACAACACATTCTGGATTACTCAGACTCCATGCCTTCCTGTATCCTGGCTGGAATTTTAACTGGAGGGAAGTACACAGTGCTGGTAAAGCAATGGAATGAGGCAGGAGTAGCCTGTGTTTCAGCGTACTTTTTTATGGTTGTGGTTTGAGCAGGAACTCTGTGTCTTCTTCCCGCCCCCACATTCACTGACCCCACAGTTACATCTTTTGCTCTGGTGCCAGCTACTGAAGACCCCTTCAGGCTCCGCCAAACCCAAAGCTTTCCCAGTCAACCAGACCCAGGGCCTACAGCACCGTTGTTGGTTCCTTTAGTGGTATTTACTGTCCTGTGACAGTCACCTCATTTAATTATGTTCAATAAACTACCTGACTCTACTAATTACTGCCTGCTTCTAGGGTCCCTATGTAATGGAATCTCATATGACTTGACCTTTGTTTGACTGTTTACATAAGATCAATAAATTATCATTGATAAAAGTAAAAACGGGCATTTCAAAAGTTAAGCATTTTTTTCACCTTGTGGTTGATTTGTTTCACTAGTTCCTATTTTGGTGTGTTAGAATAGTTTGCACTGTGAATACTGTAATAACTGAAATAGATGATAAATACAGAGGACTTCATAGTGGACCGGTCAGAGTAAATAATAAATCTTAATTTGGTACCTTATGTAGGGTCCACCTACCAAATTCTAAGCATACACCAAGATTAGGATCTGTGAATTATCTAGTCTATCTTATGGTATATACTAAATAACAATTTGCTAAGTAACTGAATTTGTTCATTGCTTAATTTGCTTTAAGACTTTGTTTTTTCCGTTCTCAAAGAAAACCACCAGCTTTTATGGTGTTTGTCACAGTTTCCATGATAATTACTAGAAAAGAGAGTAGTAATACTTGTTTGGGATTTGACTATCTTTAACTATTAGTACTTAAGTGACAATTGTTATCTACACACTTAGGATCTAAAAGAAGCATATTCATGTTTCAGATGTAAAACATTGGTGAGGTAATTACAAGTGAGAGCCTTGTTAAAATAACAAGTAGAAATAAATTATAGATATGCCAAAACGAGACTATGATATTCATTTAGATTTTCTTTTGCAGATTGTCTCAGATAATTTTTAAGGAAATTATGTTCAGATATGTTAATTCATATTAAACAAGTATATTGAGAGCTGCTGGTATTGAATTGTAATGAGTATCCAGTTGTTATCAACACATCAAATAGCTTTGTTCATTTACTAATTCTGCAATTAACTTAGCCTATAAGAGACCCTTTCCTACTTAAAAAAACTATTTTATTTTCTTAAGTACATACGTGTATGTAGATCTCTATGGGTAGGTGTGATTAGTACCAGAACCCAGAAGGCCATTGTCATTGAATTCCCTTGGAGCTGGAGTTACAGATGGTTGTGAGCCTCCTGATGTGGATGTTGGAAATGAAACTCATATTTCTTGTAGAGCAGTAGGAACTGTTAGCCATTGAACCATCTCTCCAGCCAAAGATGGTGCACAATTATAAAAAAAATTGATTTTCCAACAAGTGAGTAGAATTGTAACAAATATCCCCATATATAATCCTATCCACAGAATCATAAATGGCAAGGTCATAAAAGACAATCACATGTTCCTATTCTATTTGCTAGTACCACAAGCAAGTCATGCTTAGTGCCAGATAAGCATCTATTAAACAAGTGGTTGATCTCTCCATTGATACCTCTGTGTACATCCTATGGTTTTAGTGATGGATGTGTCTGAAGGATCTCTCATCTTTTAATATACAGAAAACTGTAGGAGAGCAGACATAAAGGCCTAAGGAAGATCCTAAAAAAGTACCTTAATGAAACTACAGCCTACAGAAATCAGATTCAAATTCACAGAGATGGGAAGCTGGATAACATGAATGATAGTCAAGGTTCATTTAAAAGTTCTTAGATTATGACAATAATTGATAAAACAAAAATCAGTGAAAAACAGAGGATAGTCTCTGAACCGAAACTACAAGGCTACAATTGTGCTTACCAGTACAGTCACCACACGTAGAACCACGCCCCGCATGTTATTCTCCAGTTTCTTGTCAGTCAGTGACCCATTCAGACCAGTGACAGGATTCCAGCACCCAAGCTGAAAGGCAAAGTATCTTTGGTCACTTTTCTGGCTAAAGAGCATCCGAGGAACCTCTGCGTAGACCTTGTAGAGAATTATGAGATGCCATACAGAATAACTGGTATGGAAAATTTATCTCTTTTAATAGCAAATGAAGCAGTCAAAAATGCTGTTCCCTACCTTTAAATACCATCATATGGCATATGTCAGAAGCCATCATGCTTTACAAGAATCATGGAGGACATCTGAAGCAATGAGGAGTCACATATTCACCAGTAACTCCATCCCTGTAATGTGCTAATTGGAAGAATAGATTTCATGTAACCATTGCACAAGTTCTCAGTAATATAGTAGTTATGACATAAGTTAAATTCTCTCAGATCCTTAATGATGTCATTTAATTGTGTGATGCTTTTCGTGGCAAAAGGAGCTTTAAAATGTTAAAAATATTTTATATGGATACAAGAGCAACAGCTTATCTGTAGGGGATAGTCACATATAAAATGTGCGTGTGTGTGCGTTTGTGTGTGCGTGTGCTTTAAGTATTCACAATACACCAAAACAATATAACTTGGCTTTTGGACAGTGCTATTTATTTCCTTAGAATATTTTGAAAACACCCTTTCCATGGAAACCATATGTTAATTATTGTTTATTTTTCAAAATGGTGGTTTAATGCCTGCCTGCCCTCATATAGTTATTGCCTCTTGTAGTATTCAAATCTGAGGGCTACCCATTTTAAAATAACTGCTTTCAAATGTCAGAGGAATAAAACTTGAATAGTCTCAATTAGAACTAAGGAGGAAAGAAAGGAACGATGAGGCTCGCATTAAGGAATGACATGCCAAGCAACAGAGCTGCCGAGAGGACAGGGTATGTGCACAGTGGGAATGATGTCGGGCTCTTAACTCAGTGGCAGCTCCATGAGCCTTCACGGTGAGACCTGTTCTGTGAGTGCGTGAGATAAAAATGCAACCCAGCTTCAGTCATATTTGGAAACAATTTGATTAATTGCGTTATTACAGGGGCACCTGGTTACTTGCTCCATTTCCTCCAATGATTTATTTCTTTGTACTAAGTTTTGTCTGGAGCTTCCAAAGTCATCAACATACTGGCAAGTCTCCCTTACAAACAAACAACTTAGGTGCTTCTTATTAAAGCTCAAGTGTCTCTTTGGGCTCCCAAAAGGTGTTTAATTAAGAAATCTAAAATGTGCTCAATATATTGCGAGAGACAGAGATGTCACAATATGATCAACAAAGCCAAGGTTTTCTTTATTAAGATAATTTGGAAAAGCCTGATAATTGTTGGTTTCAACTGTAAAAGCACATTAAATTTATACCATGATATGTCATTCTTAGTTACATAAAAGTCTCATTAGAACTTAGATCCAATTAGCAAATCCAAATGTGTTGAAAAGTCTAATTATCAGAGCTAGTGTAGCCCTCTTGCCAAATTTACAGCCTTATGGAAATTCTTTTGAGCTTTTGTTCTTTTTTGAGGTTACTGGGAGTCTATCGTCAATCTCATTGTTTGACAATCACTTTTATAATTACCTCAAGAAGATTTTGTTTTTCCTAGACCAAATATTGGAAGAAAAATGGCAATGATGATGTTACTGATGTCCTAGGTCCCTACACGCTGATCACGTGATTTCCAGCTTAAAAATGGTACGAAAGACAGAGTTATTAATGAGGATATGGCCCAGCAGCTTCATCAAAGATAGACATTTCTTTTTGTCTCTAGAGGTGTGTTTTAAGTCTGATCAGACTGCTGCCAGTTTGACCAAGGACCTGCATCAATTGACCTTGGACTTCTCTGGGCATTTGCTGCTGTGTAAGCAGTAATGTTGGTAGAATAATACACACTATTGTCTGGAAAGACTATAAACCCTCAGGTTCTGAGTTTCTGAGTCATGATCTTTGAATACAACTAAATACACTCAATATTCTAGAAAGTCTCTTTTGGGGTTTTAGTTTTGAGACAAGGTTCCTCTATGTAGCTCTGACTGTCTTGGAATTCACTCTATAATGCAGGCTAGCCTCTAACTCAGAGATCTGCCTGCCTCAGTCTCCCAAGTGCTGGTATTAAAGGCATGAGCATCCATCGCCTGGTAAAATTCTGTAAATTTTAATGCATTCTTTTGTACTTAAATTGGAAATAACAAGACAAAAGTGGACAGGGTATAAATAGGTATTTGTCATCCTGATTTCAGCAGTAGCTTGGGCATTATGTGCATTATTCATGCTATGTGATGTCTCCTCTCATTTTGCTCTTTAACTTTCATGCTGTGTACAACTGTCCTTACCACATATTCATTTATATACATACAGGTTGCAAGACAACTGGATTGTCCTGCATGATGACTTTGAGTGCTATATGTTGTTTATTGTGTGCCATCTTGTGTGCATTTTGACAGTAACACTTGTCATTTTGTTTCTGTCTCTTAATAAGCAGAGAGTGGACCTTAAGATCAGTGAATCCCTTCTATGTGAGTACTTCTCTTACATGTATGGAGATTTCACCAAAAGCCAGATGAACAACAAAATTAGTATGTTCTAAAAGTAGATATTAGAAGAAAAATGTTTAGGATATAGTACTGATGACATCTCCAAATGGGCCACAGCAAACTCTCAAGAAGTCAAAATAATAATTTCCTATATAGACAAAAACTATTAAAGCATTCTTAAATAATTTCTGAGTGTCAGTCACAGAGATCTTTTTTTGTTTCCTTGTTTATTGATACACGGTTTCTCTATATTGTTTTGGAGCCTGTCCTGGAACTCGCTCGGTAGACCAGGCTTGGTCTCGAACTCACAGAGATACACCTGCCTCTGCCTCCTGAGTGCTGGTATTAAAGGAGTGCGCCACCACTGCCCAGCAGTCACAGAGATCTTTCTGCAGGATGTTTGAGTGTTTGAGAAACTTCATGAGAAGACATCTTTACCATTATTATTTCATTGAAATCATACCTAAAGTCTCACATCTACCTTCGATCATATATCTACTAAGAAATGAAATTAGAGTTGCAACAAATTCGACTAAAGTTCCATTGCCAGGATTTTAAAATGAATTTTGTCTCATGTCTCTTGAATTCTCTTCATAAGCATGATCCATGTGAGGTGGCAGAAAATACATTTATGTATCTGTGTAAGATGCATAACTGTGAAGTGGTTTGATCATAATAGAACTTTCATGGAAAAATTATCATCATAATTTTATAACATTTACACACTATGTAATATGTCAACTAACTTGGAGTTTTACTTTTGTTAACTCAATTAATTCTCAAGACTCTTAAAGGATGGGACCATTCTTGTCCCCATTTTGTAGAAGAGGTGTCTGAGGATAGACAGGTGATATCTATCTGTCTGTCTATCTATCTATCTATCTATCTATCTATCTATCTATCATTCCAAAACATGGGGCCGAGATTCAGTAGGAGACCTTTTTAAAGAAGAGAATAGTGGTAGACACTTGATTTCCACCTCTGGCCTCTACATGTGTGTATGTGCTTGTATATGCATGCATACACATGCCCATATACCACACACACACACACACACACACACACACACACACACACACAATACATATATATATATGAAATACATACATATTTCATTTTCCAGGTCCTGCAAATCTCAAAAATATTGGGAAGACCTAAAAAGTAAAGACCAAAGACTCTACATTTTTTCAACAGCAGTATATAGATTTCTTGTATTTTCTGGTTATTGCCTGAAGTCATTTCAGAAACTTTAAAATACTTAGTACTCTAATTATTTCCTTCATTGGAGCTTTGGCAATAATAACCATGTAGTCTCAGTTAAATCAATGGAATGGCTTGTGTTCAACAAACTGGCTGATGCATTTGCATGAGCACAGTAGCACTCCTAACATTACACATGCTAATGATCAAGTTTATATATTTACTCTTTTCTCCTCAATGCTTTCACTTTTCATTGGTCACAGGCTGCAAAGGATGACTTTTGACTCTGGAGTTTCACATCACAGTTTTTCAAACAGTGTTAGATATCAAAAACGAGCTGAACTGTTCAACTTTAATTTTATGCTTAATAGTTTATAGACTTTAATAAGGAGAGTCAAGAGAGCTCTAATTGAATATGAATAGAATGGCCAGCATTTATGAGCTGTACTCTCATGGAACAAAAGAATTCTGGCTATATTATCAAAGCACCAGGGAGGACATGACACAAGTGAGAACTTGCTCTGCCAGCTCCTGGGCTTCATCTACTTGTTTCCTCAGCCTTTGAGCTAAAAGGGGAAACAGCAGATAGTATACAGTAAAGCCATCTTGAAAGGTAGATGCTTAGAAATGTGAATGACTTATTTGTTAAATGTTGCATCTGTAATGGTCTAGAAGTACAAGGAAATATACATTTGGCATATTGACTCAGATATATCCTTTATGAAGCTTCATGGCAATGCTTTCTGCTTAGACCCATACCAGAACTGACCCAATATTAATTCTCTATTTTTTTTATTATTCTTCACCCATAAAGTAATTTCAATTTATAAGACTTGCTTCCTGGGTCATGGTTATGTGCTTCTGTGGGTCTACTTGCACAGCTGAACCACTGCCATAGTCATTCTCTGTGCTTGCTGGGAATGACCTATGAACTCCATGCTTGAGTTTCTGGCAGAAGAATGTCTTTGAAAGAAAAAGACAGAAAAAAGCCAGTCAGTGGTCTAGCACTCAGGATGCAGGGGCAGATAAATCTCTGAGAGTTTGAGGCCAGCCTGTTCTACAGAGCTAGTTCTAGGATAGTCAAGGCTACACAAAGGAATCCTGTTTTGAGAAAACAACAAAAAACACAAAATAAAACAACAAAAGCAGAAAAATGATGGGGTATGTCCTTTTGTACATATTTCTCTTATTGGTTGATTAATAAAACACTTACTGGCTAGTAGTCAGGCAGGAAATATAGGCAGGGCTACCATGAAAGAAGAATTCTGGGGATAGGAGACAGAGAGAAGTCGCCCCACCAGAGAGATGC